TTCTACCGAAAAACTTCACTTCACACTGAGGGTGAAATTACTGGATTTAGCTGCTGTAAAGCTCTCAGCCAAATACTGCACAGCTATTAGGTGAATAAGGCATTTTACCAATGGAGCCCCAAACCTCGAAGCATCTAGTTCCGTATCCTTTCAATTTTTCATTGGAACTGACACTTAAACCCTTAGACGATTTTCCTCCTTATTCTTTTAAAAGCTGTATTTTAATTTTAGAGCTGACATATGTGTTTCAGGGCAATGTCGCCAGTGGAAAAACTACCTTTCCCAGAATGCATTTCCCTTATATCAGTCCATAATAATATCAGTCCCTTACATCATTTTTCTTATATCATTCATTTCCCATAGTTCTTTTCAGGTCTGAGAGTCAACTGGTTCTTTTACTAGACTTGCTTACAAATTCTTGCCCGGGAGGTTTGAACAAAGTTTTTTGCTTTTACAATGGGAGATTTGAACAAGCATTTTACATTTTCAGCTATGGCACATTGGGAGGTTCTGGTCTCTCCTCAGCTGGCTTTAACAGGTGTTTCTCCTTCATCAGACACTGGCCTGGATCAGAACCACACCTGCCTCATTAGCCAGCATTGAGGCTGGCATTCCTGATAGCAATTTTCCTCGGGGCTTGTGTTTGTTTTAGCCAGTCAGTGAAAAACAAAATCATTTACAACAGCTTTTCCATAGCTCTTTCAGAGAGATTTTCTCCCACTGATCTATCTCATTTTTCTTGTCCCCCCCCCCCCACCACCACCACCAGATGCAGAGCTTCAGGTATCTGTCTGCAGCTCTGTACCTCTACTAGCTGCCTTTTGGAGGTAGGGGCTTTTTCTCTCCCCCTGAATCTGCCTCAAATTCTAGCAGCTTTTTCAGGTCATGTATTTCCTGGGGAGGTATCCCTACTACTGAAGGTAGGGGCTTTAGTCCGTTTCTGTTTTCGGGGTCTGTGTGGTTTGCATACAGACTGAAAATCTAACAAGGGAGGTTTTTGTCATGTCTAAACTCCCATTAGGACAGGTGTTTTGCCTCATCAGGCCTTCACCTGGCCCAGTCCCTCAGTGGGTTGTATTTGCTTGTCTGGGTGCTCAAGGACAGAGCTTATGCCAGAGGCAATCACCCCTCAGGGCCACACTCCCTAATCTCACAGGACTCAGTTGAAACAAAGCTTTTCTCAAAGAGATGCTTTCTCTGACAGAAAAGAGCTTTACTCCTGGATAGTTTTCTTCTGCCCAGGCTGGGCTCTTTCCCCAGACGGCGTTCTGACTCGGCAGCACAACTGCTTCAGACACAGTTCAGCTTTACTGTTTTCCCTGAAAGGTCCTTACTCTGATAGGAAAGCTTTTTCTCAGATTTCTTTTTTGCAGTTGTGGACCTATCAACCCGGGACTTGTAGGAAAGCGCACAACTGTGCCGTTCCCACAGGCTTTAGCTTTGTTTGTTCATTGGCAATCTTCCCCTGGGTCCTGCACCTTCCTGCCTCAGCTCTGTGCTTCAGGAAGTTTGCAACTGCAGGAACCCTAGTATCCCTGAAATGCACTCCAACTCAGAGATGCTGGCCAGTCACCTCTGGGTTTTTGCTCAGAAGCAAGGATACAATGCTAACAGTTTGCATTGCTTCAGGGGATTTTTGCATTAGAACGATTAGGAGCACCTTTTCATTCTGAAATGCTCACTCAAAACCTTTGCTGCCTCAGCTCAGCTGTAACTGAAAAGCTTGGCTTTTTTTCTTTTCTCAGGTAAAGTTTCCTGCACTTTTGGGCTCTCTGTAGCTCTTTACCCACACTCTCCCAAGAGTTTCCCTCAGGGTACTCTGACCCACTGTCTTTTACTAGCTTGAAGAGACAGAGCTTAGAAGAGCTTTTTAGAAACTTGTTCCTGCCTCCTGCATTGCAGGGAGGATTGTTAAAGCTTGAAAGAGAACTTAGAGGTTTTGCTGTCTTAAGAGTTTTGTTTTCCCAAGCCGGGCGTTGGTGGCGCACGCCTTTAATCCCAGCACTCGGGAGGCAGAGCCAGGTGGATCTCTGTGAGTTCGAGGCCAGCCTGGGCTACCAAGTGAGCTCCAGGAAAGGCACAAAGCTACACAGAGAAACCCTGTCTCGAAAAACCAAAAAAAAAAAAAAAAAAGAGTTTTGTTTTCCCTTAGAGCTAATCACAGGTGGTCCCCCTACTAATATCTTCAGGTGATTCTAATTTTTGTCCTTCTGAGAAAGTTAAAGGCTTTAGTTTTTAAGTTTAAGAGCTTTTGAGAATGATTAAGGCTTTTTAGAGATTTTCCCCTAAAGTTTTTCAAGAAAAGCTTTCGAGTTTAAGAGAAAGATTCCCCCCCCCCAGGAGAAAGACCAACTTTTCCCCAAAACTTCTGAACTTCAAACTTTGACTTCTTACACCCCCATTTTTGCCTCAGGGAGAAAACACTTTCTCCTGCCGCTTGGACTTAGCATTTCAGCTGTCCCCAGGTCAAAAGCTTCCATAGGAAACTTTTTCTTCCCCATAAGCTCAAAGAAGAGCTTTTTTACTACCCGTAAATCCCAAAGAATTTTTTTCCCCAGTTTGCGTTTATAGCCCCCAAAGTGAGAAAATTGAAGAGTTTTTCTGTCTAGTTGCCTTACTTATTTTTTCCTACACAATCTTACACTTCTAAGTTTTTCCTAAACTATATTACTACCCTATACCTTATACTTATTTTTCACAGATAGAAATTGAGACAGGGATAGAAGATAGAAAATTTTGACAGAAGAGAATTTCGCTGCAGCATCGGACATCCTTCCAGTCCGCTTTCCTTTTCTCTCGAGGATAAAACCCCTGCCTCCCAAAAATATATATAAAAAATATATTTTCATAACACCGGCATGCCTTTCCACTGGCAGGGCTGACTCAGCACTTTCACCAAAAACTCTGTAATAAAACTATTTTCCTTTATCTTTAGTCCCTGTTCATTTGTCTTTAGTCCCCCCTTTTTTTGTTCCCCTTTTTTTCTTTAGTCTCCCCTTTTTTTGTTCCCCTTTTTTTCTTTAGTCCCTGTTCATGGCGCCATTCTGTGGGGCGTTTACCCACCACCCCCACAGTTCCCCAGAGTTTTCTTGAGTGCGAGCAGCAGGAAATATTAGAAGGATTTATAGCGGAGAATCTTGCAGAGATAAACAGATCGAAAATAAAGGATAGCCTCGAGAGGGCCTGGAACCTATTCCAATGGGCCCCGACTGTCTCTGGCCCAGGGTTTTTATAGAGATGCCAAGGGGTAGAGCAAAAGACCTCCCCCAGCACAGCCAAGTGCAGACCATCTCAGACACCTGCACTCAGGCCCGTGGTCCTGATCATCCTCTATGCGGACCTGCTGGGTAAAGCCACTGGAACCTGAGGGACGGGCTCCCGAGGGACGGGCTCCCGAGGGACGGGCTCAGTTAAAAGCCCAAGAGGTCAGAGCACTAGCGAATAGCATTTAGCTTACCAGCCACTGCAGTCCTTCCCCTGAGAAAAGAGACCTACTTCCTGTGTGTTTGTATTTCTTATTGATTTTCTGTTCTGCCTTCTCATTGGGTCTAAACCCAACCACATAACATCTTCGTCACTGCCTTTCTATACAGACCTTCAGGTCTCTCTGGTTGGTACTTGGATTAAAGGCATGTGTCACCAAGCTGGCTATGTCCTTGAACAGACACTACCTGCCATGTGATCAGATTAAGGGCCTGTGCTGCCACTGCCAGACTTCTGCTAAATAGCTTGCTATTAGCTCTAACCCCCAGGCAACTTTATTGACATGCAAATAAAATCACATTTTGGCACAAATAAAATCACCATGCCACTTGATCTGCCAGTTGCTGAGATTGCATCTAGGAGAGGAGTCGCACACTCACATGTGATACAGGGGAGGGAAAACCGCCCGCTCACAGAGCAGCATGGGTAGAGTGTGTTGAGACATGTTACTATGGATGTTAAGGCCCAGCCCAAGGGAAAGTCAGCTGGAAGACCTGCATGTGGACTCCTGAAGGGAGGGAGGCATCCGTTTGTCCTTTTTGCTGTTGTTGGTGCTGTTGATTTCTTCTCCTTTGGGAGAGAGGGTCACAGGGATCCTAGGCTGCCCTGAAACTGCTGGTGTGCCCTGTGTAGTCTGGAATCGCTGCACACCTCTGGCCCCACGTGAAGGACTTAGGGTGCCAGCCCCACAGCAGGATGCCTTCCTTGGCAGCCCTTCTCCAACAAGAGCCCTGTCTCTTCTGATGCCCAATCCCAGCGCTTCCTAGCAACCTTGATGGTCTTTGGATGACTGGACACAGCAATGCCTGGGGTGTATGAGGCAAGGTTCTCTAGAGAAATAAGAATATCTCCCTACTTTGAGAGACAACTTCTAGGTCCCCGGACTTCACCAGTAGGGAACTGATGGCAAATGGCAGCCAAGGCAGGTGTGTGAAAGAGCAGAGGAGATCTCAAGCCATCAACACCAGGTGAACAAGAGAGCGAGAGCGATGGGACATGCAGGAGTCCTCCAGCTCTCAGAGCTCACCTTACTCACATACTAAGTCCAACAAGACCAGAGCCCCTAACCCTAACAAAGAGGACCACCAGCTGTGGAACAAAAGATGAAGAATGAGAGACCATGAGACACAGTCTGAAACCACCAGTTTGTGTTCCTTCCTATCCTAAAAATAGTTCCTGAGATAAGAATGAGTCTCTGATTTTTTTCTCCATTGCATGCATAAGCCACTGTCTTTGTGTGTCCGATGCCATCCAGCAACACCCCGGCTCCATCCCGTTTGCATTGCACTGTGGAGAGACTGAGGCTGTGAGACACTGAACAAGAATGACCAAGAATGAAATGGCAGAGCACAGGTCTATGGAAGTAGAGGTTGCCCTGGTGAGAGAGGAGACCCCATGCCAGGAGTCAGATGGGAGAGGGCAAGTCCTGGGGCACCAGAGAATGAACCTCTGAAAATAATTTCATAGCCCCTCTTTACTTATGGACCCCACTCAAGAGACAAGGACAGGGCAGAGCATTACTTCAGGGACATTTATTGACTTTATTGATTTTTACATTGTCCTCTCTTAGGAGGTAGAGAAAGAAGCCTAAACCCACAATGCTGCACGGTCCTGAGGTTTTGAGAGAAGAAAAAAAAAAATCCACTAGTCTTTATTGAGAATCTGAGTTTTAATCAGGGGTTGACCATGGCTGCTGATGCTGGAGGCCCCAGAGTCCTGGATCACAGGCAGATAGTAGGTGTGGAACTGAGGACAAACAGCAGTGCTTCTGGGTCTCCCATCTGAGAAATCAGGAATTTCCCTGGGACATCATAGGCAATGGGTTCCTTTGAAGCTGTGCAGAAGGAACAGGGATGCAATGATCTCCAGGCTGGTCCCTGAAAGGTTGAGGGTTCTCAGGATGCAGGTGGTTACCAAACCCTTCATGGTAGAGAGGACCTGAGAGGGAGAAAAAATGGAGAGAGTTCAAAGGACCTGCATGAGAAGGAGGGAGGTGATGAGCAAACACTGGACCCTTCCTTCCACATCTCCAGTTGCTGATTCCTTGTCACCTAAGGAGAAACCTAGGCTGTGATGAGTAACCAGACAAAGCCTCTAATGAATATTGTAGACTTCCACTGCTGAAGGGATCATTCAAAGACAGAAGCACCTCTCCTTTGAGAGGACCTCGCCCACTCTGTCCAGCTCACTCTTTCCCAAACTCCTTTCTGTTATCCAAGGGATAGAAAACCCCTAATAGAATCTCCTTGTGAGTCCCAGCTGTGCTTCAAGCACATTAAGGTCTCAGAAGAACTCTGTGATTAAGTAACTGTTGTTCTAGTATCACACAACAAGGGTGCTTGGCACGGGGTACTATCCAACCCCTTCCATGAGAGATGAAGGCCAGTTCAGAAGTTCAGCATCAATCTTGGCTGTAGAGTATCCTGTGGGCAAGCATTGGACCACTCAGAGGCTGCCTTAACAAAGGAAAACCTAGAGATATCCCAAGGACAGGGAAGGGGCTGACTTCTGTACCTCTGTAAATTGGAGCATGGTTTCAAGTTCACTGCTGTGGAATGGTCTGTATGTCAAATGTGTTGTTCTGATTGGTCAATAAATAAAACAGATTGGCCAGTAGCCAGGCAGGAAGTATAGGCAGGACTAACAGAATTGAGAGAACAGGAAGGCGGAGGGAGGCACTGCCAGACACCGCCATGACAAGCAACATGTGAAGATGCCGGTAAGCCACCAGCCACATGGCAAGGTATAGATTTATAGAAATGGGTTAATTTAAGATGTAAGAACTAGATAGCTAGAAGCCTGAGCCATTAAGCCAAACAGTTTAAATAATATAAGTGTCTGTGTGTTTATTTTATAAGTGGGCTGTCGGACTGCTGGGGCTTGGCGAGACCTGAGGAGAAAACTCTCCAGCTACAGTTCACCATGTCTTCCCAAATTCCTGATCAGAGGCAGGAAGTAGGTGTGGAACTTAGGGCAGACAACAGTGCTTCTGGGTCTCCCTTCTGAGTAACAGAAAATCTCCCTGGGACATCACAGGCAATGGGTTCTCTTGAAGCTGTGCAGAAGAACCAGGGATGCCATGATCCCCAGGCTGGTCCCTGGAAGTTTGAGGGTTCACAGGAGGCAGGTGGTTACCTAACCCTTCATGGTAGGGAGAACCTGAGATAAGAAATGGAGAGAGCTCATAAGCATGGCACCCTCACTCTCCCAGAATCATGCTAAACCATGGTCTGTCTGTCCTGTGTGTCTTGGTCCACCCAGAACATGTCCAATTTCCACTCCCCTGGGGTGACAGAGGAAGGTAGACAAACACCAGAGGACAGGTGTTTGTTTTCACCATGTGTAAAACTGGCCCCTGGGAATGGGGGTTCCCTCCAGACTGTGCTCTGTTCTGTGCTCATGAAGGGCAGCCCAGCCCATGCTGCCCTCTAGTGGAATTGGCGGGGCAATGCAGAGGATACTAACATGGGAAGCAACCCATGATGCTGAACAGGTCTTCTGAGAAAGAAAACAAGGATATGGTGTCTCCTCTCCCATTGCACAGTCTCCTGTGCAGATTCTGCAGGGTCAGCAGCAGGTCCACACAGCTTTCCCAGCTCTTCTTCAGGTCCCAATACCCATTGAGTCGCTGGTAAATAGCCCAGCTCTTCTGGTAGATCTTCTTGCCTGGGTGCCCAGCATTTCTTTCAACTACTTTCCACTCCTGCAGGAAGATCCTGATTTCAGAGGCAGGCAATGGGTGTCTACAGGAAGGACCAGCAAGAGAAGGTGGAAGGTGATGAGTGCCATTGATGCTATGCACGGCGCATCTCATCACTTCTAGAGACCCTCTCTGCACACTGAGAGAAGACAAGAGTGGCCTCATTCACTTCTCAAGAGATCGGGAGCCCTTGCTAGCAAGCCCAGGCTTACCATCTGCCCTGATCTTCACACCGAGGAGTACACCTGCTTGCAAGTGTAGCTGCCTTCAAGTGTAGAAAATGCATTGCAAAACAGAAAGGGCTCTCAGGGGACAAGTGCTCCCTGGGGACATTGTCCCTACATAGACTCAACCCATCTGCCTCCTGAGAGACTCTCACAGAACCCTGAGACTTTGGGTCTCTTGCAAGAAGGGCAGGAAGCTGGGACCACTGGGGACAAGAACATCCTTGACACAGCTGTCCACGCCTGAGGTCCTGCCTGAGCTCCTCTGTCCAATAGTTAAGAAATGCTATGGTGGAAGATTTTGGTCTTAACTCAGGATTCCTCTGAATACCTGAGGGCCTTTGTCCTCCCTGCTTCTGACGCTGTCTCATACAGGATGTCTTGGTGTTCCTCAAACCTTCAATGTGCTCTGCGTCTCCCTGTTCAGAAGTGAATAAGAAAAATGTTAAGCTGTTTTGGGGCATCAAGAATCTCTGCCTCCTGGCCAGAAGTGGACTGAGGATTCAGCCTCTTGCAGCTGGAGCAAACAATGGACCCTTCCTTCCCCATCTCCAGATGCTGAATCCTTGTCATGTAAGGGGAAACCTTGGCAGTGAAGTGTAACCAGGGAAAGCCTCCACTGAATATAGTGGCAGCCCACTGCTGAAGGGAACATTCAAAGATAGAAGCACCTCTCTTTTGAGAGGACCTCGTCCACTCTGTCTAGCTCACTCTCTTCCCAAACTCCTTTCTGTTATCCAAGGGATAGAAAACCCCTAATAGAATCTCCTTGTGAGTCCCAGCTCTGCTTCACACACATTAAGGTCTCAGAAGAACTCTGTGATCAAGTTGTTGGACCCCAAAGTCTGGGAGTCTGGAGTGGGTACTTCAAGAACCCAGACTCCAGTCCAGTTGATGCAACAGCACGAGGTTTTTATTGAAGCAAACTCTGCTCCTAAGAGCAAGAGCCACATCTTACTGCAGCCACATGGGGGCTTATAAAGGAAAAACTCACAAAACCCACAAGATTACAATTCCCATACAATTTCATGGCCTGATCACAGAGTGATCACCGAGTGGGTACAGTCACGTCTGCATGCACATTCTTCCTGAAACCTCAAGGGGGGTATCAGGGCGGGAGTGGAGTTTACACAAAGGTCACAGTGGTCCTTCCTGGAACACCTGCAACTATCCCAGTCACAGTTGAGCACATCTCTTAACACAAATCTTTTTACATTGTTACATTGTGGCAGGGGTGGTTGAACAATGGCTGAGTCAGCTTGCTCTTGGAACTAGATTCTTAGTTTCTCATTTCCTGGGGCTTGGGGGGTGTAAGCCTGAAGTGTTAGGGTCTTTCAAAGTTACTGTTGTTCTAGTATCACACAACAAGGGTGCTTGGCACAGGGCTACTATCCCAGCCCTTCCACAAGAGTTGAAGGCCAGTTCAGAAGTTCAGGATCATCTTGGCCCTAGAGTGGCCTATGGACTAGCCTTAAACCACTCAGACACTGCCTTAACAAGGTAAAACCTAGAGAGACCCCAAGGACAGGGAGGGTGCTGACTTCTGTACCTCTGCCATTTGGGGGCATGGGTTCAGGTTCAAGGTGTATTGCCAAGTTTCCTTGGCTGTATAATGGACACAGTGTCAATACCTTCCAGGAGACTTGCTCTGACTACCCAGTGAGTTCATATGCACATGGGAAGGAGACACCTGCCAGAGATACCCTTTTGGAGCTATAAAATTTCTGAGAGAAATTGAAAGACAAATACACAAGCCATCCCCCAGATCATGTACCTGCATTGTGTCTTCAGAGTTCTGTTGTGTTGCATAGAGTCTAGGGCCCTGGACTCTCTGCACCCTGGTGGGTGCTACAGAGTCTAGATTGTGGAGGTAGAGCTGTCTTGGCACCTCTCTTGGCTTCTGAGGTCTGAGAACCAGGTGGAGATCTGGGCCTTTATGTAGCTCTTGGATGAGATTGAATCAGACACACCCTATGTGGGTGTGGGATATAGGCTGGATCAGCAGAGCTTAAGCCAGAGCCTTTCACCCCCTCTCAGGAGGCTGAGACAGGAGGATTTCCCAGATTCCTGGAACTCTTCGGCTACTTGGCAAGACCCAGGCTCAAGAGAAAATATCCAAGAGAGAACATTCACTATTCAAATTTCATTTTTAAAGCAGGGTCTCTTTCCATGGTCCTGGCCATCCTGGAACTCACTATTCAGAGGCAACTAACTGTCCAGGCACTGACTCCCCTCCAGGGTGCTTTGATTAATGTTTGATTTGATAATTGTACTCATTTGCTAAATATCCTCAATTCATCTAGTATTTGATTGAAAACCTGAGAGATACAGAATGTTTTCAGTCCGTTATTTTGTAACTTGGAGACACCTATTAGATGCAGTGGGACCCTGCAACGTCTTCACCGTGGGCACAAAGAGCAAAAGGGAGCAGTGGGAGACACAGGGTACCAGGACAGTAGAGCTGTGGAAAAGTTTGGACTGCTTGAACAGTGGGACTTCATATGATGGAGGTCACTCCGGGTCCTTCAACTCCGAGCCTGGTAGTAGAGCCCACTGTCCTTTATTCCATGTCAGTACCATTAATAGCCCAAAGGTCTGTGTCCTGAACCCTTCCCTGCTCTTCCCAAGCTCTCAGTTGCTTCTAGGTGGTGTGATGGGAGGTTTTGCTACTGTGTTCACTTGAATGTTAAGGAAACTGAGGGAGAATATGGGTGATTGACCCACGTCAGTAATTTTCAAGGGTTGTGGGAAAAACCCTTGAAAGACCCTAACCCTTCAGGCTTACCCCCCCCCCCAAGCCCCAGGAGAATAAGGAAATAAAAAGAAAACTAGTTCCAAGGGCAACCTGACTCAGCCATTATTCAACCACCCCTGCCACAATGTAACAATGTAAAAAAATTTCTGTTAAGAGATGTGCTCAACTGTGACTGGGATAGTTGCAGGTGTTCCAGGAAGGACCACTGTGACCTTTGTGTAAACTCCACTCCTGCCCTGATAACCCCCTTGAGGTTTCAGGAAGAATGTACATATGGACATGACTGTACCCACTCTGTGATCAGACCATGATCTTGTGAAACGAAATTGTATCGGAATTGTAATCTTATGGCTTTTTGTGGGTTTTTCCTTTGAAGGTGCCCATGTGATTGCAATAGGTGTGACTCTTGCTCTTTGGAACAGAGTTTGCCCAACTGTACAGCTGCATCAATAAACACCTCTTGCTATTTCATCAACTGGACCGGAGTCTGGGTTCTTGGGGTGCCCACTTGAGACCCAAGATTTTGGGGTCTAACACCCTCATTCTGCTTTTCGTTGGGTTTTCTTGGCTTGAGACAGATTTTTACAGAGACAGGATCTCATGTACCTCAAGCTATCCCACAATCCACTCCCTATGCAAACATGGCCGTCCGCTTCTACCCCTCCCTTGATCTGCGTTTCTGGATTACTGCCAGGGTCACACACATATCATGTGACACAGTGGAGAGAAAATCATTGGCTTACAAGGGTGCTACAAGGGTGTGATGTGTTCAAGGGAGAGATACATCTGTTTCCTTTTTTCTTCCTTCGAAGTCCATCCTCTCACTTTATCATGATACCCAATTGTCTGCTTTTGTTTCCTACTCCGTCCCAAAAGTCCTACTGTTGATGTTTCTGACTCATGCTTCTGAGTCCTGAGGGTTCACTTTGATTCTCAAGGCCCAGCTATTTACTCATCTGTTTTTTCTTTTCCCTCCTTTAAAATACCCTCTTTCACCATGGGAATGGAGTTCACTGAATCAACTAAACAGGGCATATATGGGCTCATAGAGACAAAGTGGCAACAGGGATCCCACAGTGGTCTGCACCAGGTCCTCTGTACTTATGTTGTGGCTGGTAGCTTGGGTTTTTTGGTTTTTTTTTTTTTTTTTTTTTTTTGTGGGACTCCCAATTGTGGGAGCAGGTGTGTCTTTGACTCAGTTGCCTGCTCTTGAGACTCTCTTCCTTCTGTTGGGTTTCCTTGTCCAGCTTCAATGTGATGGCTTTAGCCTTGTCTTATTGGTTTTTCTATTTTTTTGTTTGTTTATTCTTTTTATTTTTCTGTTGTGATTCATTGTTGTTGTCAGGACGTATTGTATGGGAGAAGAATCTATTTTCAATAAAAAAAAATACCATCTTACTTTGTACAGTTTTTCTCCCCTCTTTCTTTGATGATCAAGCTTTGATGGCCATGGCATGTGCTCATCTACCACCCCCATCTATAAATTCAATTATTTTTTAATTGGTATTGTAATTAGATTAGTGTAGGTTCATAGTGACTAGTAATGTGTGATAGACTTTATGAGATTAACAAACATTTAGCTGCTAGTTTAATTCCCAAGGTCTCCTTTGTGGAATACCTGAGTGATTAAAGTCCTCCATTTAATTTGTAGGTTTCCATTCTGGTGGGCGGGATGGATAATCTAAGAATCCATTACTGAGTCTGCAGAGGAATTCTTCCTTCTCTAGAAACTTTTGGGCATGACCTAATGAAAGTTTTGGTAAATGGCTTGTCCCCTGCCGCTTCCAGAGCCAATATCCTGAGGACTGCAGAAGGCTGACCACATCCCTCTGTCAGGTATTTCCAAAAGGTACATGCATCTGTGACCTGACCCTGGCTCTGAGACCCATTCAGTGATGAGTCAGACCTAATGGCTCACACCAGTAATCCCAGCAATTAGGGAGCTGCAACAGGAGGATTTCTGTGAGTTCCAGGCAGGCTTGAGCTAGGTAAATTCCAGGTCAGCCCTGGCTATACAGAGACTATAAAAAAAAAAGAAAGGGCGGGGGGGGGTAGAAGAAGAAAAAGGAGGAAGAGAAGGAGGAGGAGGAGAGGCAGATATAAGTAATTAAAGGAGTGGTCCAGGGCTCTTCCTGTGTTCCCTGTGAACCGGCTGAATTCAGTTATTCCTGCGCACTCCACTCCTACCTCACACAGGCACTGCCAAGCCCACTGGGAGTGGAGCTGCTTCCCATGCTGATATGTTTGAGTCTCGGTTACCAGTGTGCGGTTTAGCTTTCTCCCAGGGAAGTATGAGGAATTCTGGGGGAACCAGGGCACTGTCCATCTTGGCAGTGTGGGATGCCTGGGAGATCTACTGTGACTCATGGTGTGGTCTTTAATCATCTTAGGATGTGAAAGGATTCATTGTTTCATCATGTGAGCTTTGGTGACATGTCACCTTGAAAAGCTGTTTTGTAAGACAGAAGCTTTTGATCTTGCCAAAAGATGGACTCAGGACATTTTCCTCTAAATGACTAAGAAAAGTAAGTTGTTTTTTGTATTTGTTTTTTTCCTTTGTTGCACTAATTGAAGCGGTCAGTATGACAACGTAAACACAAGCTCTCTGGAGCTAGCAAGGCCGAGGTCTGAATAACATTTCCAGAAGTTAAATCTGTAACTGGAGCAAGGAACTAATAATCACCTCTTGGGGTCGTCCAGATTACTAGAAAAGACTATAAAGCGATTGGCAGAGAGGATTTAATTAATCTGGGTATGGTAGCTCATATTTATCATTCCGGCTCTTCTGGGAAGGAGGACCAGAAGTTTAACCCTACAGGGTTAGGCAGTATTTATGGTGTTGGTGGATTCTCAGACAGCTTTGCTGTTTCAGTTTTGATCTCATGTAGCCCAGACTGGCCTTGAACTTGCTATGTAGCTGAGGATGACCTAGAACTCCTAATCCTCCTGATCCTCCTGCCCATAACTTCTGGGATTACAGGCCTGTGCCACAAAAGTCCAGTTCTCAGAAATTAAAATTATACATATACACATATCAAAAATGTATTATGTCTTCTGACCACAAATGTCCATTTGTCCAGTAACTGTAATAGAAAGGAACGAGACTGCCATGGTCATGACAGGAAGAATGCCTGCAGGAGTCTCAGGAGGAACTTGCCCATTCCTTTTGTTTTGCAGGCTGAGGGGCGAATGCCTTGAAAGGGTAAACACCTCCTAAGCTTGTTTTCAGAGATATATTCAGATAAACTTCTCCAAATCCAGTTTAGAGCGGAGCTCCAGGTGACTAACACATCCCGTCACTGAGCTGCCCTGGCATCAGCCTGGACCTGGCACAGAGCCTCTGAGGACTCTGTGCTCTGATGGCTTCTGCCTGGGGCTGAGGTCCCGGGAAGGCTGAGCAGTGACTGGCAGGCGGAGTCCGATGGGGGCCCCACTCTAGGATGAAAGGGAAGGGTCAGAGGTAGGCCCTGCCCAGGGCGGCCACTCCCAGAAAAACTCTTTTTTAAGAGGCTGACACGCGCCATAGACTCAGGGCGGCCCGCCAGGTTCACCTAAGAACAGAAAGAACCTCCACTGGACAGCCTGACAGCCCCTCGTTCTACATACAGGTGCGGTCCGCGCCGCGCAGCCGCGGTGTGGATGAGCGAGCCCCCCCCGCGCCCCTGACGTCACAGACCCCGCCCCCTTGCGGGATCTGTGGGCGGGCACGAGGCTCCGCGACGCATGCGCGCTGGCTGGGCGTAGGTGGCGCTGGATCCACCTGAGGAGGTTGTGGGGTGACGGCGCGGACGCCATTTTGTCGGTGTTTGTCGCAGCGGCTGGAGAGAGAGAGGGGACGGCGGTTTGGCGACATTTCTCGGCCAGAAGGCCTTTCGCTTTTGCGGAGGTGAGGCGGGCAGGGCCTCGCTGAGCTAGCTGTCTGAGGGAAGAACGGGCTTTGGGGAACCTCGGCGCCCGGGGGATGTCTTGTCGGGGCGCCGCTCAGCCGGCGGCGACAACACCCGAGCCGCTGCGGTTTCGCCGCTCAAGTCGCCGCGGCCCCCGCGGGTCCCGGGTTCGCCCGACGGTACCGGCCGGCCGCTCGGGGCTCGCTCACCCGAGGTCAGGTCAGGGGCTCGGCCGGCCGTGGTGGGAGCCGGTGGGGAGACGTTAGCGGGGCCCGGCCCCGGTGTCGTCGGGAGTCGGGCCACCCGACCCTCTCCTCGCTCCTCCCGGCGGCCTCGGTGGTTTGCGGCGCTGGCGGGTGTTGCAGAGTCCCGCGGTCGCCCTGCGGGTCTGCGCCAGAGGCCCTGGCCCGCTGCCCGGGGGAGGTGGAGCCGCCGCTGCGGCCAGCCAGGTGCCCGGGGGAGGTGGGGCCGCCGCTGCGGCCAGCCAGGTGCCCGGGGGAGGTGGGGCCGCCGCTGC